ATCAAGGCGGATTAATCAGTAAGCAAGGTACACTTGGGCTTACTTGTACTTACTAATCTGTAGCGTGCAATTTCGTCAAGATGTGGTGAAACCCATGTGAAATGTGCACTCCAGATTAGTAAGTAAGCTCAAGTAAGCCCATGCATACCTTGCTTATTCAGTAATCTGTCCCTGCATTTAATTGATTTTATCTCATTTGAATTTAATTCTATATTTTATACTTTATTTACATTACTCTCTTTCAGTCTCGGCTGCTTCTCCAGACGCAGCCTCCACCTCACCCCTCTGGGCCCTGGGACGGAGCCATCTGCTTGGGTTGTGCCCAAGGTAGCCCAAGAGGTGAGAGAGAAGAGAGGAGTGGTTGGGCATTTGTCCCCCACCTTCCTGCCAGCAGGGTCACTTTGGGCTGTGTCCCCCATTGGGTCACACCATCAGACCACCCAGTCTCTGGGTTTCCCTACATGTGGCCCCAACTGTGGCACCTATCCCCTCTTCAAACCCACGTACCTAGCTCTCATTTGAGGTACCCTGCACTGGGACACCGCTGGTAAACACTCCTCTGCCCCATGGAGCTGGAAGGAGGACAGAGCCCACCCTGACCCTGCGTACACCGCTGGCCATGTGGAGCTCATTGGCTGACAGTGTGGGCTCCCTCAGCCTGTGTGACCACAAACGAGTTACGCAACTTCTCAGTTTCCTGATCTGTAGGGGTGGGGCAAAGATGCCGACTCCCGGCCCGCCATGACGGTTCAGGACAGACTTGCCCAGCCTTTCCCAGACAGCAAACAGGTCTGCTCTCCGCCCCAGAAGGGGACATTGTCTGGACCTTCCCAGGTTGCTTCCATACCAACGTCCTGGAGAAGACAGTGCTGACCCAAAGCTGTGACTGACTGCCTCTGCTCAGAGAGGTGCAGGCTCCAAGAGACCCGTGAATTGTCTCCCAACACACACGCAAACTCTGCCTAGAGGAAATGGCCCCCAGGAGAGGGAGGACGAAGAAGGCAGAGCTACGGGGGCAGGAGGGGAGGAAGAGGAAGATCGGGAGGGAGGCAGGGAGAATTCAGAAGGCACCCTGGGTCATCTCCATTCCCCCTGCAGTCTCTCACCATCCCGATCGCTGTTCTGAACAGATGCCAGTATGTCCACATGCTTATACCCAAAAGGAACCCCAAGCAAAGGGGTAAGGCCTCATCTTAGAAGCTCTTGGGAGCAAATGTCACTGAGAAATCAGGAAAGGGAGAGAGGAAGTGTTCTCGTGGAACGCACACACGTTCTGAGTAGCGCATTTGCAGGCCCTGGAATCAGTCACTGAAAAGTCGACTACCCACGGGGCTATCGTCAGCCCGTGATGTAAACGAGGACCTGATGCTCGGGTGACTTACCCGAGACTCCCCGCCTGGCCTGCTCCCTCGGTGTGTTCCCTCTGGCTGTGGATTCCCTGAGCAGGAAGGCCCAGCAGACATCATAACCTCGAGGCTGAGGTTATGAATTTTAAAAAGCTAACCAATACCGCACCACCACAAAATCCAAAGAGCAACGCTGTATTTTTCATTACCTAAGCACCTGCCACTCCACGCCACTTTCCCCGCGTTTTACTCTGGCTGCGTGCACACGGGTTGCCGCCTTGTAGATGCAGTGCTACTTCCATACTTCCTGTAAAGGGAATTCTTTCCTCAGTGGACTCGGTTTTTGTCACGGTGAGCAGTTTAAAAGTTCCTGCCTCACCACTAACTACCACAATGCCGTGTGGACCCGGGGGAGACACCCAGTCAACCGTTCCCCGTGCCGGCACAGCCGCCGAGGCCGTTCTCTGGGACAGTCCTCGCAGTCCAGCTGTCCTGTCCACTCTCCTAGCGACAACAGGGGAGGTCCTCAGGGGAGGCCAGCAGGGGTCTGTGAGCTCCTCCCCCTAAGGCTGGATGCATTTGCTCCCGTTGACACTGATGCTTGGTCCCCTGATTTGTGAGGGCCGCCCTAACAAAATGCCATCACATGGGTGGCTGAAGGGACAGAAATGTCATCTCCCATATCTGGAGGCTGGGAGTCTGAATTCAGGGTATCAGCAGGGCTGAGCTCTCCCCATCTGCTCTGGGGAGGAGTCTTCCTTGTCTCTTGCAGCTTCTGTAGCCTGGGTATCTCTTGGGGTTCCTGACACGGAGATGTATCTTCACATGGAGTCTTCCGCATTCTCTACTTCCACGTCTGTCCTTGTCTCTTATAAAACGCCACTCAGAAAGGATTAGGATTAAGCAGTGGTGCCACTAGAGGGACCTGGGGGGTTCGGACCGCACCAGGTGACACCATCAGGGGGATGGGGGACACCAAATATTGTCTACAAATTTTTTGTGCGGTGTTTCCGCAGAAGTTTATTTTTTGTAAAAATATCCCTGTAGTTAGTTATAACAACAAAAACATTTTTGGAAACTCAGCTTACAGGTATCAATATACCTACAAGGCTAAAACTCTATGCTAATTTACTTTTTGAATCTTCCCATGTGCTCTGGTCAGGGCTGTCATTATTACGCAGTTACGATGACGCTTCCGTTATGTGGTTTCGTCTGCACGCACCTTTGTTTTCAGTGCTGCTGGTGTCTTTATAGCCACTGACTTTGTCAAATTTTCTGGTGTTTTAGCTACAATATTGCGGTAATTAGTATTTGTGAACCTGTATCAATTAACTTTTTTGAGAATGAAGTAGAAAGTAAAGTAAAAGGAGAAAAAGCAAAAAAGGTTTCCATTCAGTTACTAATAATGTTGTAACTAATAATGTTGTAACTAACAATGTAATTCAATGTAGAAAGATTTTACAAAACAATTTTGCTGTTAGTATTCATATAATCTAAGAAATATTAAATGTAAGCAATTTACAACTGTATTTATCACATATTACCTATGATTAAAATTACTAACAAACATCACTAAGGATTCGGTACAGTCCGGTTCAGGAGGAGGCCCATGGGGTGGTGACATGAACCCTAGTCACACCACTGGGATCAGACTCACCCTACTGCGGCATCACTTCGTTAACCGACAACATCTGCAAAGAAAATCTACTTCCAAACAAGGTCACATTCACAGGTACAGGGGTAGGACTTCCTTTAGGGAGGACACAATTAAATCCGAAACAGCCTACTCCAGGGTATAGGTCTGAGGCTTCAATGGTACAGGTGAAATAGGAAAATGTGATACCGAGATTCTGCTCTCCTAAGATACTATGATGCCCCTTCCAGTGCTTCTCTGCCCTCTGACCATTGGCTCATATCTGACGGATCACAGGAGGAGTCTGGGCAGCACCTCCTCAAACAACTCTGGCTGCAGAATCCATGTCTAGCAGGAGCCAAAACTAAAGCTGTTCTGAAACTGAGGTGTGCTCACATCTCATTGTAGTGAAATGAGAACATGGGGATAGAAGGAACAGCTCACGTCTCGTAGTGAAATGAGAACATGGGGATAGAAGGAACAGCTCACGTCTCACCAGAGTGAAATGAGAACATGGGTTAGAAGGAACAGCTCACGTCTCACTGTAGTGAAATGAGAACATGGGGATAGAAGGAACAGCTCATGTCTGTTGTACTCAAATGGCTTTGCAGCATCGTTTTCCTCAGAAACAGAACCATCAGGTTCTAAGGGAGGACGAAGTTAAAATCTTTGCAACTGATATTCTAGGAATTACCAGGTTTTAAACTCTGACAACTACAAGTTCTTAAAAATCACTCTCCTTTCTCCCGTCCCAAAAACCTAGGATCCCAAAAGCTTTCCATTTCTACTCCTGAAATCCACTGAGGGGATCCTAACCTGTGACAAGTAAACAAAAAACAAACAAGAGAAAACATGAATTTTTTCATCCTCTCGATCCTCAGGGAGACCTGGTCTCTCTCAATGCCAACATTTCCACGCACTGTGCCACACCTGGCTGGTGGTCACCCACTGCTTCTCCCCCCAATAAGCTCTGGGGTTACTCCCATGCTCCCCGTGATGTCACTCAGTCTCACAGGCTGAGCAGGAAGAGCAGCTAAACGGCACCTCTGGTCAAAGCTTAATTAGTCTCAGGCTACTGCTGCCCTATTCTGAAGCTCTCGCTATTCTTTCAGTGGAACAAATCAGACAAGATAAAAATAGTTCTTTTAAGAAACAACAGTTATATCTATTATCATCTCAAGATATTACAAAGGTTTCTTGGCAGACTGCTAAGATAAACACTGAGTTATGATTCAAATGATGAAAATAATCTCACATGTCAGTGAAACCACTGAAAGTTTATTCAAATTTTTACACAAAATGATTTATCAGCATCAGTGCCACTCATGAAATACTGATCTCATCAGGCAACGCTGAAGGAGGAGAAACCACGGACGCAGCACTCACTCTACAAGCTGCAAGGAGCGCCCACCCAGGCTTTAGACAGCAGGCCGATGGGTCAACACCGACCAGCTCCAGCGTCACGGGAGGACACCCCAGGGTCAGGCCAAGCCAGCGTCCGTGTCCAGACCTGCCAGCGGCAGCAGGACACAAAGCGATGCAAATCATGGAATGTGTCAGCTCCGGCACTGGTCCTGTGAGAAGCTTCCGAAAGACAGTTTTGTGTCTGGAAGTGCCACCCCCAAGAAGCATCCTTGAGAACAGCCCCGGACGCGGGGGTGGGGAGGACATGGAGAGGCGTCCCCAGGCAGCAGGGATGGCTCCCTGACCGCACCCTGGGGAGCGCTCCATCCTCTCCAAGCCCCGACTCTGGGTGGCTGGCGTGGCTCGGCGCTGCCTGGCGCCACAGGCCCTGGCTTTATCTAGTGTGGTTTTATCTGCTACAGTCTAACACGTACAAGTCCAGGACGACAAAAGCTTTGTTTTGAAACATGTACTTTACAAAGCTGAAAACAAGCTGCTGAGTTGGTCATAAACTATCCCAGAAAGAGATCACGGCAAGGAGGGTGAGAAATGAGGCCCAGCGGTGGCCTCCGGCAGAACCCACCCACACACATACGTGAACCTGGGTCCCCGCAGGCCCTGGGCCAACACGTGAGGGCAGTGTACTCACTGGAACCCATGCACAAGTGAACCTGGGTTCCCGCAGGCCCTGGGCCAACACGTGAGGGCAGTGTACTCACTGGAACCCATGCACATGTGAACCCGGGTCCCCGCGGCCCCCAGGGCCCACACGTGAGGTGAGCACGCTCACTGGACAAGGTTCCGCATGATGTTGAGGGAGGACCCCCGGTACCCTGCCCCAAAGTGGTTCCAGTGGTTCAGGTAGTGGAAGAGCTGGTAGAGCTGCAGCCGCTTCTCGAACCCAGGGGCCTTGGGGATCCTGCCGTGGTAGGCAGAGTAAAAGGCACTGCTGAAGCCCCCGAACATGCCAGCAATCGCCAGCTCGTACTCCGAGTGGCCATAGAAAGATGCTGGGTCAAAAATGATGGGCCCAGAAGCGTCCTCGGCCACATTTCCTCCCCAGAGGTCACCGTGGAGCAAGGCGGGGATGACCTCCAGGTCCTGGAACAGTTCTGGGATCTTCAGCTGGAGAGAGGAGAGAGGCACCACAGTGAGGGGCTCAGACGCTGTAGACATCTCCCACCCACGCACAGTGGCTGGAGCACAAAGTGCATGGGCCAATGGGCGCCCAGCTGGCTGCGTCCACACCTCCTCTTCCTCACACTGGGGCGGGTGGGGCACTCACCTGCAGGGCAGCCCAGAGCTCGCGGGCCTCCCGGTCCCCAGACGCCCTCTCCACCATATCCATCTGGGGCTGGATGCGCTGCCGGGCGAAGAACACAACCCAGTCCTTCTGCCAGTCGTTTACCTACACAAGCGCAGCAAGGGGATACCGAGTTCAAGGAGAGGGCAGGGCCGAAGGTCGCTGCCCCGGGACCACCCATCTGCTGCAGACACCAGAGTCATGGGAGAACAGGAGGGATTGGCTGTCCACCAGTAATTCCACAGACAGACACTCCACGGTATCGATCACCCATCACTAATTCCACAGACAGACACTCCACGGTATTGATCACCCACCAGTAATTCCACAGACAGGGACGCTCCACGGTATCGATCACCCATCACTAATTCCACAGACAGGGACACTCCACGATATCGATCACCCATCACTAATTCCACAGACAGACACTCCACGGTATCGATCACCCACCAGTAATTCCACAGACAGGGACACTCCACGGTATCGATCACCCACCACTAATTCCACAGACAGGGACGCTCCACGGTATCAATCACCCATCACTAATTCCACAGACAGGGACACCCCAGGGGACCGACCATCCACAGAGAAAGACACCCTATGGCACAGACTGTCCGTCAGTAATTCCACAGACAGGGATAACACACAAGACTGGCGGTCCATCAGTAATTCCACGGACAGGAAACCCCACAGGACCAACTGTCCGTCAGTAATTCCACTGGCAGAACACACTAGGGGACCAGCTGTCCATCAGGAATTCCACAGACAGGACACCCCACGGGACTAACTGTCCATCAGTAATTCCATGGACAGGACACCCCACAGGACTGACTGTCCATAATTCCACAGACAGGATACCCCACGGGACTGACTATCCATCAGTAATTCCACTAGCAGAACACACTAGGGGACCAGCTGTCCATCAGGAATTCCACGGACAGGACACCCTAGGGGACCAACTGTTCATCAGTAATTCCATGGACAGGACACCCCACAAGACCAGCTGTCCATCAGGAATTCCACAGACAGGACACCCCCACCAGCTCTCACTTTTTCTACCGAGCTTCAGGCTCTATCACACGTAAATTTAACTTTTTAGTAGCTTGCTTTGGTTTTGGGTCAGATAAACTGTATATTTTGTCTTGAAATCCCAAGGCTACCTCTATTTCTCATATTCTTGCTCAAGCAACAAAATGCCCGCTGACCACCTACTTGGACAGCGACCCTCACGGTGCAGAGAATTTAAAAACACTCAGACAGTGACCTCAGAGAGCTTGGACCCCAGAAGGAATGATAAGGAAATGTGCCAACACTGTGACCAAGTATGAGACATGCGGTGAAGTCAGGTCACCCCAGGGCCAACTCTGAGACGGGCAAGACCTGGGTGAGCCTGGCCAGGTGAGAGCCGTCCGTGTGCAGCGTCAGCAGTGTGGGGGGGGAACAGGGCAGGGAGAAGGAGGAGTTCACGTTCGCTAGCAGGCCGCAAAGTCACGGCTGTGTGTGGGATGGCTGCATTCACACCGCCCGACAGCATCTGTTATAGACTGAACTGTCCCCCAAATATGTGTACCAACTTGGCTAGTCCACGATTCCCAGTATTGTGTGACTGTCCACCATTTTGTCGTCTGATGTGATTTTCCCACGTGTTGTAAATCTTACCTCTACGACGTTACTGAGGCAGGATTAGCGAAAGTTACGCTAAGGAGGCAAGACTAGATCTACAAGATTAGGTTGTGCCTTAAATCAATCTCTTTTGAGATTTAAAAGAGAGAAGCGAGCAGAGCGACAGGGGAACCTCAGACCACCAAGAAAGTGTGCCAGGAGCAGAGTGCGTCCTTTGGACCCAAGGAACCTGTGCTGAGAGGCTCCTAGACCAGGGGAAGACTGATAACAAGGACCTTCCTCCAGAGCCGATAAGAGAGAAAAAGCCTTCGCTTGCAACTGACACCCTGAATTCAGACTTCTAGTCTCCTAGACTGTGAGAGAATCAACTTCTGTTTGTTGAAAGCCATCCACTTGCGGTGTTTCTGTTACAGCAGCACTAGATGACTAAGACAATCTCCTAAACCAAACCAAACCTGTTGCCGTCAAGTTGATTCTGACTCAAAGCGAACCTACAGGGAAGAACAGAACTGCCCCATAGAATCTCTAGGAGCAGCTGGTGGATTCGAACTGCCGACCTTTTGGTTAGCAGCCAAGCTCTTAACCACTGCGCCACCAGGGATCTAAGACAGCCTCCTACACTTCAAAATGGAACAGTGTCTACGGCCCAGCCCTCGCCCACCAGGAAACCCTAGAGTTTTCTAGATTAGTCTGCACCCCACCACAGAGCCATGCTGCATTTCCTGAGAGCAGAGGGGCTGCTCTGTCCACTCCATGTCCACCAGGCACCACAGCGCCCGGGCTGAGCCTCCAGGGAGCGACTGGAATCATGAACCAAAGTTATCGCCCCTTTTCACTGCACATTTTCAGGTGCTTGACATTGTCAGTAAACCATCGTTTTAATTTCTGACTTTCACCTTCCTGGAAATCCAGCATCCTGACTTGCTGGTCTTTCTCTCCAGTTTCTCTGTGCTCACTGAGCAGGTAAAGTGGCTAAACCTTGCATCGACCTCTTAAAAATTAACCAAGAAGAAAAGAGCGCTAAGACTTTTACTGAATTTTGCAGAAAAGGAGGAGGGTGTGCTTTCCCCTGCTGCACCCGAGCAGCTGAGCACGCTGTGCGGTGGGGGCAGTGCAGGGGGTCACCTACCTGGGGGAGGTATCCACAGCAGGTCACCACATCAAACCCAAACTGGTCCACAAAGGTACGTTCCACCTGGCCGCCTCCTCTCCCTGCAAATGAAGGAGAACAGAGTGGATCTACCCCTGTGCTTCATGTAGCCTCAGTTCCCCTTCTCCACCTCATCTCTGTCTCCACAGACGGAAGCTTCAGGCCCTTGCAGAGCTGCACCACGGAGGCCTGCCCTCAGGGAGCCCCCTCCACCCAGGGAGCCCCCTCCACCCATCTCCTCATCCTCACACGATGGGGAGCTGCACTGCTGAGGCCTGGCCTTGAGGAGCCCCCTCCACCCATCTCATCCCCACACGACGGGCAGCTGCACCCCTGAGGCCTGGCCTCAGGGAGCCCCCTCCA